AGAAGTTGTAGTAGTAGCAGCAGCAGTAGTAGCAGCAGCAGGAGGAGGAGGAGCACTCGCAGCAGTAATAGTTGTAGCGTAGTAGGAGTGGGGAGTAGGAGTGGGGGTTGGAATAGTAGCAGTCGTGGTGATCGTCGTCGTCGTCGTCGTAGTCCGAGTAAGCGTCGTCGTCCAGGGCGAGGAGGCCAAGACGAGGACGAGAAAGCACGAGGACGATTTGAGGACGACGACGGCTACCAACTAATGCCTGCTTCGACGACGACCACGAGGCCGACGAGCACGAGCATTACCAAGCGCTAGTCACCAAAAGTGACCCGGGCACAACACCAACAGAATGACAAGGACAATATTGTTGGGCGAGCAAATGCTGACACGAGGTTGTTTGTGATAGTCCAGCGAATGAATACAGCAACGCTCACGTCGGAAACGAAACCCCGTGCAGACTCGTTTTGAGACTCGAGGCTGGTTACACCAACAACGGAGGCTGCTTCGTTGGGCCCCTCTCGTCTGTGGCTGGTGCCGCGCTTACCACGACTCTCCTGTGTCACCTGGCACACCTGGATCCTCGGCGCTTCTGACACAGCAATATGGGTCTCAAGGGCATTTGGACTTACGTAGTTGTGCCATGCGTCATCCTGCACGAAGTCTAAGGGTCTGTTTTGAGAGCTGTTTCGGGTTCGCTGGAACTGCCCAGGCAGAAGCTGTGCACCGTCCCGCTGGGTAGCCCGAGTCGCAGCCCCAAAAAGCTGTAACCCGACACTTCATGCTCCGAACCCCAACCTAGTGTTTTGCCGAGCCATAACGAAGAACATGGAGCTGAGAAAATGCCGTTGTCTAACCAGGATCTGAAGGCTGCGACGACCAAGAACAAGAAGCTTTCCACCCCTCAGTTCCTGCAGGGCTTTGTCGTCGTGCTCCCAGATTTCAAGAAGGGGATCCAGGGTTGCCGGAGGAGGTCGAAAGAGCACGTGTGCGAAGTGCTAAGCTGCTTAAGCTGTTACGATTACGATAACCAACCAGGAGCTCCCTAAGCTTGCTTCAATGCATTCATATGAATCTGTAGGACTTTCAGGACTGCAGAGGCTGTCGAGGATTCTCGAAGCCCACTGTGGCCTGTTTTGGGTTTGGGTCGCCGAGAACATCAGGCAGACGTTGCATCAACCGCTTGGCAGTATGGGCTGTGCACTATGCAACCTTAGAGGGATGAAGTTCGGCCGGGCTTGTATACGCTTTGCATCGAGACGCCTATGACCGTCATGATGATGAAGTCCATAGGTATCAACACACCCAGGGGGTTGTCATTCCGCCTGCACCAGCGGTTGTTTGAAGCAGCGGCGGCAGCGGCAGCGACAGCAACCTCAAGCATAGTAGCGCCCATAGCAGGAGTAAAGACAGTAGTGCTCACGGGAGGAGTTGTAAGTGTAGTCGGAATTAAAGTAAACACGCACAGATATCGAAGGAGTAGAGCAATACTTGCAGAACAGAGCAGAATAGTTAATGTCCACTGTTGGACTGGCAGAGTAACCGAGTACCAGCTCTGCGGAATTCTGACACAGCATCAGCATAAACCGATCAGTACAGAAGCTTCATGATGTTGGAACCATGTTGCAGTCATAAGAACCGTCAGAATCTGGAACCTGTACAGTTGTATCATGGGCTGATGAAATAATTTGGCATGCCAGCACAACAGCCTCACAAAGCCGCGCTGCAACAGCTATCGAGCAATGCGCGGGTGCGACAGACATCCGTTACTGGCTTTGCGTAGGCTGAGGCCCTACGGCGATCCTTTCTGCGACAAGAGTGGTGCTACCAATGGCCAACCATCACTACCTTCTTATTCCTATAACTACATCCGTTGATTGAGTGTCCATAAAACCCCCGGACAGTGCATCAGTAAGCGGTTTTGGAAACGCCGACTAGCAGCCAAAAAACTTCGAGAAGACTTTGAGAATAATGAAGCAGTGGTTTTCTGTAGCAACCTCGTCCCAGGACGGCGCGCTGGACAAAGACCGGTACCTTGTTTGGGACCGGCTGTTCTCCATCGAGGAGTGCCCCGGTGGAAGTCCCGAGTCCCAAGCCCTGTCTCCCTGGGCCTTTGGTTCAGCCGCTTAGCCTCCTTTGTTCTACCAGCCAGGGATGCTTCTTCGGAGTCTTCAATTAGCTTAGGCACCTGGTGAGTTCAAGCTGGAGAATTCCGGCCGCAAGACAGAGCCATATGTTAAGTTCCCCGAGTAGCCTTGGAACCAGGTCAAGTGTAAGTTGGAGGCCTTGAGTGCTACGTATCCTAAGCGCACCTGAAGCAAGGTTTCAGAGAGCTGTCGCCAGGATGGGGCATCTGCAGCCCGATTCTGCCAGGACCGAAAGCCAGAGAAGATGCTAGGGTTCCGAGATTTAAGCCCGAGCGCCCCTCACCCTCCTCACCCTTCGAACCACACCTGCTCCTCCCTCACCCTACATGACTCCACAAAGTACGGTTCTGAAAGGGGAGCAGGGCGGGCGTCGGCTCAATTCAGACTGTGGTCGTCTTCTCATGGGAAGGCGGATCGCCGCCACGGAGAGCTTGGAACTCTATGAACTAAGTCGCATGAAGATGCGTGTCATGCGGACATGCGGGTGCATGGGTACCGAGTCCGAGCGACAGCATACGAGATACATCAATTCCGAGCTGCTTGCTTGAGGTTGCTCCCATGCTACCCCGAGCCACAAGCGATTGTCCTTGTTGGAGGAGCATTTGAACAGTGGCTTCTTCGACGACATCAGCCCTGAAAGTGCCGAGCAGGGCAGCGAGGCTGGGGGCAGCTGTATTGCAGTTTAGGGGTTCAGGGGTTTAGGGTTTAAGGTTTAGGGTTTATGCCCATGAAGGTTGAACCCTGCGCTGCCTGCACCCTGAACTGCTGATTTAGTCTTCGCGTTCAAGGGCTAGGAGTTGAAGTCTCGGAATTGAGGATGCGACTAGGCTCTCCGCCACAAAGGCTAGAGAACCGATTGGTCACAACTACGAAGGTGCACACAAAAGCCTAGACGTCGAAATCTCCGAAGACCATTTCGAGATTTGATCCCCAAAGTCCTGCGTGTCTTTCCTCTCACTTCCTTTTGTAACTTGCGCAATCTATACCTATATGTCATTCAGATGCCGTGAGCTCTGAACCCTTACTGTTCTGCAGTACAGTTCTGTAAACTCCTGACTTTCTCGAAGTGTCGGAGGAGCTGCAAGACATGCTCCGGAGCTTCTTCAGTAGCATCGCTGGTGGCAGCCGCATCCTCAGAGATCCTTCCCATAGGTTCCTTGCAGAGCTTGGAGAATCTCGGGCGTCTCTTTACGATTCTCCACGAATGTACAAGACGAGAGCCGGTGCAAATCTAGTGAAGTTCAGGACAGCCCCAGACCTCTCGTTTCCCCACCCGAACCTTTCAGCAGTAGGATGACTGGCTTTTTTGCCTCGACTGTTTCGAGTTCCGGGGCTTCTGCCACCGGGTTTGATGCCTTCTGGCACGGGCTGATGTGTTTTGAAAGCAGGTTCTGTTGGGATTTCAGCCCAAAGCGTGTTCACACCTGGAGTTTCCGCCGAGCTTGGGATGTCTCGAGTCGTCCTATCGTCTCGTCCTCGTATTGCATGAAACAACATGCAGGTTCCTCGTCAAGACCAAGGCAGAGGTCAACCCGCCTGGATGAGCAGGCCGATGCAACGTTTAGTCGCGGGTGGACGTTTTGAAGATGTGCGGTAGCTTGATGATGATCATGCACATATGCACAACTTAAAATGCCAATGCCAAGGGCATATTACGGCATTAGGGCCAAAGCAGGCGCCTTCCAGCCTCCCTTCCTCCTTCACGTGCGAGCCTTGCTGTTCGTGGAGCATTTGGGAGCTGTGCTACAGGGAGTTTCGAAGGCGTGAGCTTGCTCGAAGTTCGACGCTGTCAAGTGCAGGATGCAGAATCACAACTGCCATTGACTGTGCGACCTGAAGCAGAAGGGTTGCTGGGAGGGCAGCCTTGTCAAGCGTTCGTCGCATCGAAGTGCACTTCATCGGAGTTCACAGCATGCGCTGTGCTGAGGCCGTTTTCGGGCAAAGCACACCGTCTGGACGCAGATGAAGAAGTGCCGGCGGCACTCGTGTTTTCAAATTATTTTTAGGTAAGCGTCGTCCGACCTGGGTTAGCGTGGGACGGCACGGTTTGCTTAGGTGGAAGGTGCTACCTCGTTAAGTTTAGAAGGATCTTTGGCTTTGCTGGCCTTCGCTGCAGCAGCCGTGACAGAGACCTGCACCATCCTGCACCACAAGACAGCGCTTTGTAAGAAAGAAGCAAGGTTAAGCCCAGGCTTCTCTCAGTATTTCGAGGCGGACAACCAAGACCCTGCCTCCGTGCCGAGTACCTCAGTATGAATCATAATTTCTACAAGTACAATGAAGACATGCCCAGAATTCGGCAAGGAAGCTAGCATTCAGGCTCCTTGAATCTGAGGCCGAACCCGATTCCGGATGCTCCTGTGCCATAAATGCGTGTACGATCTGCACATCTTTTCTTGAACCCGCTTCCGTAATGAAGGTCTCGAGGACCAAAGCCTCCAACCCAGAAGTGCGTGGGAGTTGATGTCTACCCTCCTCCAAGGCACCGGAACCCGACGATCGCCAGAAGTCCTGGGCGCGGCCCCAAGTCTGTCATAGTAGCACTAGCGTATGGGCGCCAAAGCTTTTGAGCTTGTTTTTTTGTTTTATTGTCTTTGGGCTGGTGCTTTTTTGGTATGTTGACTAAGCCGCAAGGCTTGTTGGGCTTCGAACTTCTCCGGCCCAAGCTCTACTAGGCATGCGCATACATATATATATATGTATATATATATATATATGCTCACATACATATGTTTATATATGTATGTATGTATGTATGCACGTACGTAGGTAGGTAGGTAGGTAGGTAGGTAGGTAGGTAGGTAGGTAGGTATGTATGTATGTATGTGTGTACACACGTATATATGTACGCATGTCTGTCTGTCTGACTGTCTGTCCGTCCGTCGGTCTTTCTGTCTGTCTGTCTGTCCGTCCGTCCGTCCGTTTGTTGATATGTTTCAAGCATATAAGTTTTATGTATAGATGCACATATATATATATAGGTGTGTGTGCTCATGCAAATTTGTGTACACACATATCATGTTTATAATATGCTCATACATATACGTAGATACACATAGGTGTTTACATAGTTCTTGTTTCTTGCTGTGAGTATTTATTCGCAGCACGGAGTAAGGTATGGACTTACGCTTCGCGTATCCAGGTTAGTGTCCAGCATATGACAGTCATCCGTATGATTGCTTCATGCAGCACGAGATTAGTACAATGACAACGCAATGCTACATTACGATGTGGCAAGATGTGTCAACTATGTTTTGGAACAGCAAACTCTTTATGCAATTTTTGCTACACTGGTGAAAGTTCATGCATGTTCCCGTGATGTAGCCATATGCATCGTGCAGCTAGGCTTACACCGACTTCGGCGATTCGACTCGCCATCTCTCGCCTTCTCCCTGCCCTCGGAGCAAGCAGTGCATTGAACTGTACCGCGAGTGGCAACACGTATGTTCATGATGCCCCGAGGTTTTTACCCGCCCATATGCATGCATGCATCGGGTCCAGGGTGTTGACGTGCAGAGACGAAACTGCAAGGCATTGACATTCACTTCAAACCTCGAGCTGGCGAGATCCAGCCGCAGGAGGACGAATTGAGTTGACGGCTTTGGGTTTGCATCTTGTGAAAAGTTGGGCTATGAATTTTGCCATGTTGCTGCATGTTGGGTACATCGCGTCGATTATAGATCTGAAAGCTTGCTCACCACAGAGTGGCCATCCCCCGCAGCGTGTGTGGGTGCTGCACATACGTTGCCTGCCCGGGCCCCAGCGGAGGTGGCTGAGCGCAAGATGCTACAGTGTCTCTGCACGACATAGAGTCTGCATGCTGTATGTACTGTGACAGCGCACTAAATTTCACAGAACCATTAACGCACGCATGGAGCAAACGTGATAGGTTCCTCGACATCGGTTGAAGACCAGACGACGACGCCGAACTCGGGCATGTATTGTGATTTTTCTCTGCCTACTCATACATATGTGTATATGCATATATATATATACACACGGGGCAAACAGACCTATACACATGTACGCACATACATACACACATGCATACGTGCCATCATGAGGCACGAGCAAAAACTTGCCATATACAACAAGCATGCTGCAACAGTTCGGTCCATCCGCGTTCAGGTATATATATATATATACCAACAATCGCATATGACTGGTTCTAACACAGTGTATGTTTGTTTCCAGAATGCACCATAACACATGTTTTATATCGCGACATGCTTGTCAATCTGCTTATGGCACCAAAGCACACCTAGGTGGACCATCTAGAATGTTACAACAGGTCATACCATGCCAAAGACGATGACCCATTTTCCACATGATATGGCATCCACGTTTTGCTGGTTTAGAGAACGATAGCTGTCATGTCCGCAGAATAGCAAGACACCGATGATAGGTATAACGGTATGTATAACGTCGAAGTCGGAGGGTCTTCAAGTCCCACTGGTTCGCAGGAGCCGGGAAGAAGCGAAGAGGACAGGATTGTGTTTTGGAGCAGCTGTTGGGGACATGGCGAGGTTGGTGTTGGTCACAGTGTGCTTGCAGCTGCGTGGTCAATTACGATGCAGGTTTCCTCAGTTGACAGCTTAATGTCCTTGCCTCCATCCATCAACAAGTTTGCTTGAATCGAGTCCGAGTTCTGAGATATTCGCACCGTCGGCCGCAAAGCTGAAAAACTTGGATTCACTCAGCCTACGAGTTGCGATCACCCTTAGTGGCTCTTCTGGAACTGCAAAGCACCGGTCTCCCTTCAACGAGGCCTCAGCCTGGGAGGCACACGGCTCGCGTATGTTTGCATGGCAGGTCGCAGGCTTCTTGGGTTTCTAGACGGTCGGCTCGTCCAGCGACTGACATACCCATATCACTTCATATCATCTAGCTCCAAATCCCGGCAAACAAATTTGTGGCTTTTGAGCTGGAAATTCTCAGCCACTGACCCCTTAGACCCGCAAACCTGATCCTTCGCCACATCAAGTCTACAGCGTTTCGAAAACTCTTTCATGCCATGCTGCCACTGCGCTTGACGAGTCTTCCCCATGTTCAGTTCTTTTATTGCTGCCACAGCAAGCTTTCTGATGCGACTCACCGAGCAGGACCTACCACTGGACCTTCAGTGGCCAAGCCGTGAAGGAGACGAAAACTGGCACAGAGAGCTACTCTCAAGGCAGGGAGCCCGGACCGCACGACGGAGCCCGAAGCGTGCGCCCTGAGTGCCGAAGCTCCTGCAAAGTTGTGATGTTAGCTTCTACCCTGCCACTGGCAGCGTCTACAGTCGGCGCTGGGAGACTCGTGTACAGTTGCACTGCCAGGGAAGTGCGCCGGGGAAAAGCGCAAGGGGCAAATCGAGAGCCGCTCGGTGCTGAAGTGAAGTTGCAGGATTTTGACAGTCACGTGTGCATGGCAACACCGCTTTCATTTGGGCAGGTTCCTCGAATAGTGGAAGCTCTACACTACACGCGTTCGTGTTGCTCGTGCTATTTGGCGGCGACCTCTAAGAGTCTCTAGATAGCGTTTTCAATGTGGTTCTCTGTGGTCCCTTATAAGCTGAAACTGAACAGCCATCTAACCTTCAAGGCAAAGAAGGCGTGGTCACATCATGCAAGATTATGTGCACAAATCTACCATCACATGTATGCCGCTGCGGTGTATGTTGAACACCAGCGCGAGAATGAGTTAACATCCGTTTTACCCTTGAGCAGCCGCAAATCGTAGCGGGCAGTCATGAGCAGCCTAGTACCACGTGGAAGAAATCAAAACGAGATGACGAATGAAGCCTGGGACAGGGACTGCGTCGTATTGTGCCAGCCATCAGTTCAGGTGCCGCAGGTGCTGGGAAGCAGTTCAGAAAAGCGCAGCGCCTGGCGATCACCAGATAAGGCCTGTTGAGGGCCCACTATAGGGTCTAGTTTGCTTGGAATTGAAACTTTGGAGCCGCAGTATTCGTCCAGTATGACCACAGCCACGGTCGCTGCTGAAGTAGGCAAAGGGCAACAGCACCATAATCAACAAGAAGCAGCAGCAAGGACGATAATGGCAACCGCCGCAACGACACTAGAATGCTTCATCTAATGCTCTCACCAGAAGACGTCGGCAGTGTTGTCAGCAACGAGATCTACAACGCAAGCATCATCGATGTAGACTACATCAGACACTATCAGCAAAGGCAGCAATCGCACGTCCTGTAGCAGCGGCAGTTTTAAATCCTCTCGTCAGCTTTCTCACCCTCAGTTCTGTCATTTTCTTTCACCATCACCATGCACCATCGGCAGCAGCACCGCATCAGTGTCATCAACGGCAGCAGATGTGGCTTTGGCTGCACTCTGAAGACAGACAGTTGCTACCACATGCCATTGAACACAGCTGCGTGGATTGGAATTCTGGTGTGAGGGGTCTTTAGATTTGATGGCGTGATGAAGCCTGGTACAGTTCACCTTCTCCTGGCGACTGCAAACCATAGGGCACCAATGGTCATGGGGTCTCCACGAGCTACCCAGGATGAGAGTGTGGGCCAGGTGCAGATAATTCTCAACTGCAGCTCAGCCCCCAGCCCAAATCCTCTTGCGGTAATTGTGTCTGTGCACTTTGAGCTGCAGCCCGCTTGAGCAGACCTTCGAAGCCGTTGCGGAGCGATCTGATGTGATAGCTTCGGACGTTCCGTGGGTGCTTGTGCGGAACTATCTCATTCAGCTGAATAGCCTTTGTACATAGGGCAGGGGAGCCGAGGTTCGCAAATCCTGAGATAGCAGATGCGCATGCTTTGTGTCCAGGACTTAGAGTCAAGAGCATAATTATGTATGCATGTATGTATGTATGTATGTATGTATGTATGTATGTATATATGTATGTATATATGTATATTGTATATATGTATACATATGGTCACCCCCCCCCCCCCCCCCCCCCCCCCCC